TCCTGGGGCTCCGTTCCCTTCCCTGGACACGCTCCAGCCCCTCCAGGTCTCTCCTGGCAGGAGGGGCCCAGAGCTGCCCCAGCCCTGGAGGTGCCAGATGCCACCAGTGACCATCCCCTCAGCTCTGGGGACAAGCAGCTGTGGCTCCCCGTGCCCACAGCAGGCTGAGGCTCTGTCCCTGTCCCCTCAGTGCCAGCTGATCGTGTGCCAGATGAGCAGCACTCGGTGCCAGCCCCTCAACTGGATGCTGCTGCCCATCGCGGCCGTGCTGCTGCTGGTGCTGTCCGGGCTGGCTCCGGGCAGTGAGACGCTCCTGCTGTACCTGCTGACAGCCTTCCTCACCCTGGCACACATCCACTACGGAGTGGTGGTGGTAGGTGACAGCTCCTGGGCTGGGAGGGCTGCTGCTCGGGGCAGGGAATGCTCCCTGTGGAACTGGGAATGGTTCCGTGGGAATTTGGGCTGCGTTCCCTGTGAGAGCTTTGGGAAGGTTGCACAGGGTTGGGAGGAAGGAAGGAACTGCACAGGACGTGGAGGGGGCTGTGCTTCCCCTGGGGTGTGTCAGCTGAGGTGGAAACCAAGCACAGAATCCTGGAATAGGCTGGGTTGGGAATTACCTGAAAGCTCAGCCAGTGCCACCCCTGCCATGGCAGGGACACCTCCCACTGTCCCAGGGTGTCCCAGTGCCCAGCCTGGCCTTGGGCACTGCCAGGGATCCAGGGGCAGCCACAGCTGCTCTGGGAATTCCATCCCAGCCCTGCCCACCTTGCCAGGGAACAATTCCCAATTCCCAATGTCCCATCCAGCCCTGCCCTCTGGCACTGGGAGCCATTCCCTGTGTCCTGCCAGGGAACAATTCCCAATTCCCAAAATCCCACCCAGCCCTGCCCTCTGGCACTGGGAGCCATTCCCTGGGTCCTGCCAGGGAACAATTCCCAATTCCCAATCTCCCACCCAGCCCTGCCCTCTGGCACTGGGAGCCATTCCCTGGCTCCTGTCCCTCCATCCTTGTCCCCAGTCCCTCTGAGCTCTCCTGGAGCCCCTCCAGGCCCTGCCAGGGTTCTGAATCTCCCCCTGAGGTCTCCAGGGTGCTGGGGGAGGCAGGCTGGCGTGGGGATTTTGCTGCTGGGGGAAGCAGCAGCTCCAGGGCCCCCCCTCCTGCTGTCCACCTGTGCACAGATCCAAGGGTTTTTTTCCTCCTCGTGCTCTGCCTGCCTCCCTGGGCTTTGATTAACAGACTTGGAGAAGCCCAGAGTCCCACTGGGAAGCTGCTGAGCAAGGAGGACACGTGTCCCAGCTGAAGTGGGGACACCCACCTTGGGCAGTCCCCTCCCCTGGCAGCCCCAGTTCCACCCCGGAGCCTGTGGAGCCGTGTCCCAGCTGTAATTACAGCCAAGCACTAATAGCCAGCTTGCCTTGTCTTTCCAATTAGTGTAACGAGGCTTCTGTGCAAGAAGGATTTGAGTCACTAAGAAGCTTAAAATAAATTTGGTCTTGGAATTACAGCTGGAGAAGGGGCTGAGCTGGTGGTGTAATCCTCCTGCCCATCCCCTTCCAGGAGATTGCCAGGGCTCTGCTCCTCTCTGCTCCCTCTTTGCCTCCCTCTGCCCTTCCCGGGGCCCGTCTGTGCCAGCTGCTCTTCACTTGGAGCCAGGAGCCTTTCAAGGCTTTGGGATTGGGGCGTGATCCCAACCTGCTCTCAGCTGGGCAGGAGTGATGGGGGTTAAAGCCTCTGCCCGGGTCAAGCTCAGCCTCCATTTGCAGGAAGTGACTGATCCAGCTCCCACTTTGAACGGAGTGTTTTGTACAGAGATCTGAGATGATCAAATTAATTTAAACAGAATAACAAGGGTTAACCCCTCGGGATCCGGGATAACACCCTGGGATCCAGGATAGGCCCCCGGGACCTGGGATAACCCCTGGGATCCAGAATAACCTCTGGGGGTCCAGGATAACCCCAGGATCCAGGATAACCCCCTGGGATCCGGGATAGCCCCCTGGGATAATCCCCAGGATCCAGGATAGCCCCCAGGATCCAGGATAACCCCCTGGGATCCGGGATAGCCCCCTGGGATAATCCCCAGGATCTGGGATAGCCCCCAGGATCCAGGATAACCCCTCGGGATCCCCTCGGGATCTGGGATAACCCCTGGGGGTCCAGGGTAGCCAGTCGGGAGCCAGGATAACCCCTCGGGGTCCAGGATAGTCCCCCAGGATCCGGAGTAACCCCCCTGGACCCGGGATAACCCCCTGGGATCCGGGATAATCCCCCAGTATCTGGGATAACCCCCAGGGAGCCGGGATAACCCCCGGGATCCAGGATAACCCCCCAGAATCAGGGATAGTCCCCCGGGATAGCCCCTCAGGATCCAGGATAGCCCCCCTGAGAGCCAGGATAGCCCCTTGGGATCCAGGATAGTCCCCCGGGATCTGGGATAACCCCCTGAGATCCAGGATAACCCCCGGGATCCGGGCTAACCTCTCAGGATCTGGGCTAACCTCTCAGGATCCGGGATAACCCCCGGGATCTGGGATAATCCCTCAGGATCCAGGATAACCCCCTGAGATCCGGGATAACCCCCGGGATCCGGGCTAACCCCCAGGATCCGGGATAACCCCCGGGATCTGGGCTAACCCCCGGGATCTGGGATTACCCCTGGGATCCGGGATAACCCCCAGGATCTGGGATTACCCCCGGGATCTGGGATAACCCCTGGGATCCAGGATAACCCCCGGGATCCGGGCTAACCCCCGGGATCTGGGATTACCCCTGGGATCCGGGATAACCCCCAGGATCTGGGATACCCCCCGGGATCTGGGCTAACCCCTCGGGATCTAGGATAACCTCTGAGGATCTGGGATACCCCCCGGGATCCGGGCTAACCCCCGGGATCCGGGCTAACCCCCGGGATCTGGGATAACCCCCAGGATCTGGGATAACCCCCGGGATCTGGGCTAACCCCCGGGATCCGGGATAACCCCCAGGATCTGGGATAACCCCCAGGATCTGGGCTAACCTCTCAGGATCCGGGATACCCCCCGGGATCCGGGCTAACCCCTGGGATCCAGGATAACCTCTCAGGATCTGGGATACCCCCGGGATCCAGGCTAACCCCTCGGGATCTAGGATAACCTCTCAGGATCCGGGATAACCCCCAGGATCTGGGCTAACCCCTGGGATCCACGATAACATCTCAGGATCTGGGATACCCCCTGGGATCCGGGCTAACCCCCGGGATCCGGGCTAACCCCCAGGATCTGGGCTAACCCCTGGGATCCAGGATAACCTCTCAGGATCTGGGATACCCCCCGGGATCCGGGATACCCCCCAGGATCCGGGCTAACCCCCGGGATCTGGGTTATCCCCGGGATCCGGGATAACCCCTGGGATCCAGGATAACCTCTCAGGATCTGGGATACCCCCCGGGATCCGGGATACCCCCCGGGATCCGGGCTAACCTCCTGGGATCCAGGATAACCTCTCAGGATCTGGGATACCCCCTGGGATCCGGGCTACCATCCGGGCTACCCCCCGGGATCCGGGCTAACCCAGCGCACTCTGCTGCTCCCCAGGTGAGCCAGCTGAGCCGGCACTTCCACATCCGTCCCTTCTCGCTGCGGAAGCCCAGCCCGGACTGACTGGGGCCGCGGGAGGAGCAGACGGGCCCGCGGGCCGCGCCAGGACTGTAAATACCCGCTGCAAACCGCCCTGTAAATACCTGAGCCATCGCCACGGAGCCACCCAAACCCGGGCAGGCCCGCTGCTCTGCCATCCCCGCGGGCTCCCAGCTCGGCTTTTGGGTGGGCTGGAGGAGGAGCAGCCCTCCGGGTCGCTGTTTCTGTACCTTAGACCGGCTGAATGTTCCCAGAGAAGCCTCTGCCTCCGGCCCTCCCTCGCTGCTTGGGGGCCAAGAGGCTTTAGCAGAGCAAAGCACCTTGGCCTGACACCCAAAGCAACGCAGCTGATTCCTCCGGGGGCAGGGGGATGGCCTGGTGGTCTGGGCAGTTCCTGGCTGTCCCCTGTGCTGGCCTGGGACTTTGGGAGCAGATGGTGGCAGTTCTCCCACGTTCTGTCCTGCCTTCCTGCTTTTGGGCAAACACATGCTAGCACCTCTGTTGTCTTTTTTTGGGTTTTTTTTGAGGGGGTAAAAAAAGGGCAAGCCAATCAAAACTTGCAGTTCAATCCTAAAATTGGGGGGGCTTGGAAAATCAGGGCACAGTTTCCCAAAGGAGTTTCCCATAGGAGTGGGAGTGTGGCTTCTGCACGTTGTGTGGTACCCGGGACCACACCTCAACACGTTCCCGTGTGTCCGTGTGTGTTCCCAGTCTGGGAATGGGGTCTGGGCTGTGGAGGGTGGCTGAGACTGCAGAGCCACCTCTCCCCATTCCTGCCCCCATGGATTTGGCTCCCGGGGTCCTTCCCTGCTGCCCGAGCCTCTTTTCCACAGCCAGGAGCAGCCTGGCCCTTCCCTTCTGCAGTTCCACCACTGGGAGAAGCACCTGAAGGCCTGTGGTGCTCACGTGTGCTCCTTCAGGATGTTCCCAGGGGTGGGAATCCTTCGGACCCCCCTCTCCCTGTCCCCAGCACCCGCGTGTCTCATCCAGGCATCTCTTCTGTTTACTGTCCGCTCATCAAAGATGTCCCTGCGTTGATTTTGTTTTTTAATTCGTTTTTATAATTGACTTGGAGTGGGGTGGTGAAGACTGAACGCTGATTTTCTTTCCTGTTGGCTCGATTCAAACGAAGACCCGTGCTTGAATGAAGAGTGTAGCTTAAACCCAGGCTCTGGAAAGGCTGCATCCGGAAGAGAACAAGCACAGATCCCGCAGGTGGAGCTGCCACGGGAACAATTCCTTCAGACACCGACTGCTGTGCGAGCGTGGGGGCATCACAGCTTGCCCAGAGCACTCTCCTGCTGCAGGGGAAGCCTCTTGCTGCTCTGGGAAGCCTTCAACGTGCAACTGCTGTTTCATGCTTTTTCTTTTGGAAATTGGAATCACCGTCACGCCGAGACTGGAAGCGCCGAGGTTGAGCTTCGTGAGTTCTTGGTTTGCTCGGTCAGCCCCTGGGCACCTCATGGTCAGCCTTGGCCACTCTGCTCAGCCCCTGGTCCCAGCACAGCCCGTGAGGAGCAGACTCACCCTTCCCAGGGCTGCCATCCCTCGTGGGAGGCTCTGGATCTCAGGGCTGCCGCGGGGCTGGGAGAGGGGGCCGATGGTTTTCAGAGTTTATTTAATAAAGTAGCTTCCTCCAGTCCATTTTACTGATGTTGTACAGAAAAGAAAAAAAAAAAAAATCCAAACAAAACCCTCCGTGGACAAATTGCTTGGGCTGCACCTGAGTTTTTGACTCGTGATATTTAATGAAATAGAATTATGGAGATAAACTGAAGTCCTGCTCCAACAGGAATCAGAGGGAATCTTCAGCTGGGCCACAGCTTCCTGTGGGACTTGTGCAGATAGCAGAGCTGGGCTGGCAACAGTGAAAAATGTGGATGTTGGATGATTTTTCTGTCTAGTTTTGTGTTTGCCCAAGCAGGGGACAGCTGAGCTGTTCCCCCAGGCTTCCAGCTGAACTCTGGAATCCCAAACCTGGCGCTTGCCTTGTCCTGTCTCTTCCCATGGGCATCACTGGCCCCTGAGGATTTGGGATGCTGCTGAGGCTGGCAGGAGTTGTCTGAGCTTAAATCTTGGTGTGTGGGAAGAACATCCCTCTCCAAAACTGGAAGTGCTTCCTCTGCACAGGCTTTATCTTGGGGGAGTTCTGGCTCTTTGGTGCCTTTAATTTATTGCACCTTGAAAGTAGAAAAAAAATCTCCTTAAGGCAGCACTGGGGTTTGGGCTGGTTTTTTGTGGTGGGGACAGGGATGGAGCAGAGCCCATCCCAGTGCCTAGGCAGCTGCTGGGGAGGGGGGGTTCTCCTTGGGCTCTTAGAAATCCAGTGATTTCTGTTCCTGGATCCTGAGAGGGGAATAGAAACAAAGAGACCAAACCCTGTGTGGCAGCTGAGAACCAACCCTTCTATTGCCCACCGTGGGTTTGGGTACTGGGAATTAAAATAAAATTAAATTAAAAAAAAAATAAAATAAAAAATGTTCCTGGGTAACAGCCCCCGAGGGCTGTGCTCCTGGGGATGGAGAGGGCAGGTCCTGGCTGTCAGCTCCTCCTGCCCCACAGCTGATCTGTGTTCTCTTCTTCCAGGGGTTGGTTGCTCCAAGCCTGGGACCCTCCCAGGGATCCAGGGGCAGCCACAGCTGTGCCAGGGAACAATTCCCAATTCCCAATGTCCCACCCAGCCCTGCCCCTGGGTGCTGTCCCAAATCCCTCTGCAGCTCTCCTGGAGCCCTGCTTGGTCACGGTGGGGTTTGGCTGCTGCCTCTCCTTGCAACCATCGTCCCCCTGCCCCAAGGCTTTGCCAGAGCCGGGAGCAGAGGGCTGGAAGTGGGAACTCCCGAGGCTTTGGGAACATCTTTAAGCTCCTTGAGCAGAGCTGGCTTGGTGTCACCTCCTGGCCTGTCAAGCATCTGCAGCTGGGAGTCAGAGCTGCTTTGAGCTCGGCTCCAGTGAGGCACCTGAGAGCATCCATGCCTGCTTCTGAGAGCTGGAAACTCCCCAGGGAAGGGGTGATTTTGGGAAACCAGCCTTGGCTCCTGCTGGTTTTGCCCACCTCTACCTCCGAGCTGTGTCAGAGCGGTGGCTGAGGTGACACAGAGGCTGCTCTCGGTGGGACGAGGACAAGATGAGAGGAAATGGCCTCAAGCTGTGCCAGGGGAGGTCCACGTTGGATATTGGAACAATTCCTTCGTGGATAGGGCTGTCCTGCCCTGGCACAGCTGTGCAGGGCAGGGGTGGAGTCCCCATCCTTGGAGGGATTGAAAAGCTATGGGGATGTGGCCCTGGGGGACATGGGGCAGCACTGTGGCCTTGGTTGTGCTGGGAGAGGTTGGACTTGATGGGCTCCGAGGGCTTTTCCAGCCCCGGTGATTCCATGGTGACAATGCTTGTGGAAAAGACCCTCTGGCCCATGCAGGTGTGGTCAGACCTGGCTGGAGAAGTCCCCAGGCTGGTCTCCAAAGGAAGTGGCTGGGCCATCCATCCCTGCCCCAGGAGAGGAAGTTTTCGGGGTAATTTCCCTCAGCCCACAGCCCCCGTGGAGCCAGTTTGGTCAGAGCTGGTTGGAAACCTCAAAATCTGCCCCCATCCCTCCCTGCCAGCAGGGACACTGCTCCTGTCCCTGGGGCTGAAGGGGACACTGGTGCTGTGATCCCCGAGTCCAGAGTCTGGGGGCTCAGGTACTGCAGTGGGTGTGAATTCCAGTCTGTTCAATGCTACTGCTGAAATATTTATTGTGTTTAAGCCAAACAGAAAACGAATAAAGTTCAGTAAAGAATAAAATTTTCCACACCTTTTATGGGTGTTTGTCTTTTCTTTCTGCTGAACGGGAAGAAGAGGAGAAGGTGGAGCAGGGAACAGGCTGGAGGACAGCGGGCAGAGATGGATTCATCAAGTGACAGCGATTTGGGCAGGAAGGGACGCTCCAGATCAGCTCATTCCGTGGGCAGGGACATCTTCCACTGTCCCAGGGTGTCCCAGTGCCCAGCCTGGCCTTGGGCACTGCCAGGGATCCGGGGTGGGCACCCTGTGCCAGGGCTGCCCACCCTGGCAGGAACAATTCCCAATTCCCAATCTCCCAGCCAGCCCTGCCCTCTGGCACTGGGAGCCATTCCCTGGCTCCTGCCAGGGAACAATTCCCAATTCCCAATCTCCCAGCCAGCCCTGCCCTCTGGCACTGGGAGCCATTCCCTGTGTCCTGCCAGGGAACAATTCCCAATTCCCAAAATCCCACCCAGCCCTGCCCTCTGGCAGTGGGAGCCATTCCCTGGCTCCTGTCCCTCCATCCTTGTCCCCAGTCCCTCTGAGCTCTCCTGGAGCCCCTCCAGGCCCTGCCAGGGGCTCTGTGTGGGAATCTGGGACCCCCCTGGACAGAGCCCCCAGAGACACTGGCTGTGATCTCTGTCCATGGAAAAGAGTTTTCAATCTTACAGGGTGAATTACAAGCTCTGAGTGTTTGATATAAGTAATAATTGTGTGGCACGGGTGCAAAAATCAAATTTTAGGATTGTAGATGAGGGGTCCAAAGGGGACAAGCTGGAGGAAATTGGGTGTGTCTTGTCCTTTTTCTCCTTCTTCATGCCCTCCATGTCTCACTGTGGTGTTGGCATTTTTCTGTTGGTTCAGGCTGGGGACACACTGTCCAACGGAGGTGACAGATATTGGCACGTTATTGTAAATCCAGCCCAGGGAGTTTCTGGTATTGAATGTTTGTAACATCCCACTGAGGGCAGAGCCCCACACGCTGCCCTGCAGGACAGAGCTGGGCAGGGCAGCAGAACATGTGAGAGATAAACAGAATAAACAACCTGGAACCAGCACAGACCAATTATGGCTTCTTTGGCAGCGGGGCTGACAGAGACTTTTACAATCTCAAAATCATTTGAATAACGCAGATTCTGTCAGCTCTGCAGACCTTGCTCTTCTCCAGGCTGCACATCCTCAGCTCCCCTAAGCGGATTGCTGCGGTAGGTGTAATGGAATTAAGGGATTGCTCCTGACAATAGGTTTCGGAGGCGCACCAGGTGTTTGTGTTCAGTTTTATCTCCATAGGACAATGTGAAGGATTTTTTGGTTATGTTTTTAAATGTTTGAATTAGTTATATAAAGTATCTAACATCACATAGTTTCTATTTTAATATTATGCTACAGCTTCAAAACTGTATTTACTGCACTTTTTAAAAGAGATTAAAACAGCGCCACTCAAAAGAGATTAATACAGTCTAACTTTGCAACGCATTTAGTATTAATTTTCATATTTGCGAAGAGCAAATTATTTATTATTTAACATTAAAATCATTAATGTTATTTTAATGCAATATGTATTTTTCACACCTAAGGTGGGACAAGGGGGATAAACTGGGAGTCCAGTCCAACTCATGGTATTATGCCACAACAGGGACGCTGCTCTGGAGCAGAGACCCTGAATGGAGCAGAGCCTCTGCTGCCACACCTGTGGCATTCACGTTCTCTGGACAGACAGACACAATTCTGACTCTCAGGATTTCTTGGAGAACACAGAGAGAAGAGAAAACAATCTTTATCTCTGCTCCTTTGTTTTGCCCATGTGGGATGTGGTTGGAGGTTGTTCACCTGCAGTGATGGCTGGGTTGGATTCTGGGGAAGTTGTTTGGGATCAGTGACCAATGGAAAACTCAAGAGTTTGGGGTTTTAGGATATAATAATATCTATTCAGCTAAGATGGAGATTTTAGGACAGTGGCTGCTCCTTCTTCACCTTCTCCTCCATGGGTTTGGGTGCTATTTTGTAATTGGACAGAAAAGTCCACATGGCAGACTTTGAGTGATTAGTTATTGGGTTAAAAGTGAGAATAATTTAAGTGTCATTTCTTATTTGGATACTTGAGCCTTAAAAGACCTTGTAAGTCTTGAAAGGTAGTTGGCCGTTTTGTAGCTTGGTAGTAGAATGCTGTAGAACTCATGATTTGTAATAGAGATAAGAAACAATAAACATCTGAGTCCAAACACGAGCTGTCCTCTCGAGCGCCTTCAATCTCAACGTCGACAAAGAAAAAACGGAGCCAAAAACCAGCAGTATGTATCACAAGGTTAACCACAAGTGATATTGTAACAAGAAGTGCAAGATAAAGCAAACGTGAAATCAGAACAAACAAGATATCAGAGCAAACACGGTATCAGAGCAAACGAGATAACAGGGCAAGGGAGATAACAAACGCCATCAAGAGCAAGATAGCAAGTCTTAACGGAACTTGCAAACTGCAAAATCAGCTAAGAACAAGTCA